GTATGTATTCATAATTATATATATACACAGACACACATATACACATATATATATATATATATTAATAGTCGCGTGAGTATAGATCTCCCCATGCGAAAGAGAATGATACTTTACGACTTGGTGGCTTTGAACTTGACACTGGACCACCTTCGTGCCAGCTCTCGCGCGGAGACAACACGACATCTACGACCATGCTAAGCTTGCGACAACAGACCTTGGCTACATAAACATATGGCATGTTCCATATGCAATGTATTTATGTTTCTTCACACAGTATGGGTAATTATGGTGTTAAAGTCGACCTATTAGTTGATGGAAAACAAAAGAAAAAAATCTAGGACATATTGAAAACTAAAAATTAACAAACAAACATACGTTATGGTTAATCGTTTTATTGATGATGAAGATTAACGTGGGCTGTTAGTTAATTATTATAAACAAGTGGCTTCATTGAATAGTTGTTTGTTTTTAATTGTTCCCGTGTCAGTAACGAAACGCAATGTCATCATATTTTCATAAATGGTCGAAATACTAATAATTACACCAGTTTTTCCAGTATTCGTTTGCTAGAGACATTCGTATAAAAAAGAAATAATAAAAATGTTTTATATTATCGACCCATGTTTTGATATTTCAGTGTTGTAAATTATAAAAAGTCAATAACTTTGAGGCCTTTTCTGGTATGAAACAAGGCGATTGCATTTTAATATCTAACCAAAAATATAAACAAACATTTTCATTTAACCTCACATAATTTTTGATAATGAGGTATCGTTTGATGAAGACATCAAACATTAAATTTAATAAAACCATGATGCTAAAATTGAAACAAAATATGTGGTTTTATTAGTTGAATTAGGGCTAAATTCCCGAGTTTTCGTTGTGGTTGCTATAAAATCATATTAAAGCATTCAAGAACTAAGTACTATTTAGAACATTTGATATAAAATAAATAAGTTATGCAAAATAAATTAGTAACCGCGTGAAATTATGTACTTACTGTAAAAATGAATCCTGTCTCTGTGACAGATTATTGAAATCCATGACTTGATGAATCCTTAAGGTGCAGGGATGTCCTCCGATCCATGACTTTTCCAATCTATGTCATATATGGAACTCCATCTCTCCCGACATCCGTCAATCCAAAACCCGCCTGTTCAATCATTTGTTATCCATCCAGTCCCTATGAAATTGTAAATAGTTACTACTGTAAATATGTATATAAATTATCAGATCGTTCTTCACTATTTTTACTTCATATTTATTTTCAATTTTTAATTTTTTTTTATTATTAACTGATTTAAATTAGAAATTAACTTATAATTTCTTTTATTATTTTTTTATTTTGACAATTCACTTACTCTATATTTTTGTTTAGGTATCTCTGAGGCTCCATAGCCCACATTTTTCTCTTTCTGTATTATTCTAAAGGGAGTCGTCCCAGAATAAATAAAGCATTATTATTATTATATAACAGGTAAATATCCCTTTTTGGCTCTCAAGAGGATTTTTACGAATGTCAAAAGTAACATAATTTTGTGAAGAAGTTCTAATTTTAAAAAGTGAAACCTTAATACAACTACAAAAAGTCATTGAAAACAGTTTTGTTGGTTTTAAAAGTCAACGGATCGAGACGGAGTAAATCGAAGATTTTAACTCAGACATCAAGAACTGCGCCTGACAGCGATTATAAACCTAATACGGATTCAGATACCTCACCACAGCCTGCCCGTTGATGAATTTAAATTGTTTATAATTAATTCAAAAATATATTACAAAGTTTTAAATGTTCTGATTAAGAGAATGCTATTTAATTACATCATGGCTTTGACTAAATAAAGTGTTTATTTCATTTTAAATACTTTTTTACAGACTGGCAAAATACAAGAGGAATTAGTGGAATTATAAAAGTTTTAAATAACAAGTTTTTATTTTATTTTTGTATTAATTTATTGAGTAGTATAATATTCAGTCTTTTGGTCAATAATTATAGATAGGCAAGACTACATTCAAACTATATATACAGAAAAGATAAAATAAATAACTAAATAATAATCAAAAAGTATATACAATAAATAAAAATAAAACAACTTAAAGATAAGTAAAATTAAAAAAAAACAAAAAAACAATAGATATAGCTATATACACCATTTATATAACAATAATAATATGTAATATTTGTAATGAAATAAATAATTAAATATTGTAAAATAATAATAAGGATTTTTTATTGAAAATAATGTGGGGATGTCTAAATCCATATCAGGTTTGTAATTATGCTGCCGGATTCAGCGTTTTAAACCCCAAAAATGTCCAGATTTTTTCTTTAATGTTTATTATATAAGTATAAAAAGAGACTAACGTTTTGTATAAAATTGTGTTGTAATCGATTTCAATTCTTATACAACGTGGTATAATGACAATTACACCAATTCAAAGCAGATTAATAAATGGCAAGTACTCGTGCCGCCGAAGCATCTGTTCCTTAAGAGGTACCCATCCACTTAGCTACCTCCGGATCAGGTTACGCCCATTAGTCCCGGGAGGTAAACATTCTAATTAGTCCTGACTTGTTGGAGGATCTCGTTACAGTCGGTTAGCAGCTTCAGATTAGGAGGGTTGATGAAATGCTTCAATGGGGATCCACCCTTAGATCAGTGGGGGTTCATTGAGGCTCGTGGATCAAAATAGAGAATTTTTCAAAAATATTAAAAATCGACGCTTTTGAATTCTAGAAAAGCAAGCTAACCGTAAAAGTATTGGAAGTTATCTAATAATAAATTACCTATATTAAAAATATCAACAATCCTCGGTGAGAAATGGTAACAAAAATTTTCAGGAACAAATAAAAAATTAGTATTTTAAAAATATTGGGTTGGCAAATAAAGCCTTTCGGTTTTTCTGAATTAATCCCTAAGGTGGATTGTTTATGCTGTTTGTAATATGTCAACAACTATATCTGTTAACTCTTGTTGAAAATAGCTTGGTCTTGTGTTTGATATTGCACTGTGAATATGAAAGAAAATAACATTGATTATCGGAATATTTTGTTGTATTATTTTAAAAAAGTTAAGTGTGCTGCAGAACCTCATAGAAAAATTTGCAGTGTTTATGGGGATGATGCCTTAACCGAACGCACCTGTCAAAATTGGTTTGCCAAATTTCGTTCAGGAAATTTTGCATCAATGAACGGTCTGGTCGCCCACATGAAGCTGAAACGAGCAATGTTAAGGCCATTGTTGATCAAAATCCTACCCAATCAGTGCGAGAGATTGTTATGGCTCCAAATGTGTCGCACACAATCGTAGAAAACTATTTGCACAAGATCGGCTATGTTTCCAGTCTTAATGTTTAAGTCCCTCACATGTTTTTTTTTTCGAAATCACAAAGCATGTTATAACTACGACTTTAGCTATCTACAAGAATATAGTATACTAAGGATATAGTTACATCAAATTTGGAGAACATCCTGAAGAATTATGAATGACCGAGAGGGTGTTGTATTCCCCCAAAACAACGCTAGGCCCCACACATCATTGGTCACTCGCATTAAATGATTGAGCCTTGGATAGGACCTTTTGCCCCACCCTACCTATTCACCAGACCTCTAAGTGACTACCACTTATTCCGGTCTCTGCAGAACACCATGAATGGAAAGAAATTCGAAAAGGAAGAGAACATAAAAAAATCACTTGGATCAGTTTTTTAACAATACACTCCAGACATTCGATGAACAGTGCATAATGCAGTTAATGGAAAGATGGGAAAAATTCGTATATAATATTGGCCAATATATTATAGATTAAAATAAATTTTATATCTATAATACGTTGAGTTTTATTTCACCCTGAAAAACTGAAAAGACATATTTGCCAAACCAATATATTATACATTATTATGTAACACAACTTGGAGAAAATATTCAGGAGTCAGTCATTTTGATGGTGATTAGGAGTCTCTAATTTAAAGGTATAATAATGGAGAAAAATAAACTTAAAGATTATAAATAAATAAAATGATTGCTATTTATTTAATAAATAAAAACCTTAATTTTATTTTCATTTACCTGGTTTCAGACCCATCATATTGGTATTCTAACCATTAGTGATTAATAATATTATTTATTAAGATTAACCAAATTATCGGTGTGATGCATTAATTGTTTTTATGCGATAGTCCATGATACAGACCCCTTTTTATCAAATTATTAACATCCCCCTAAAACGTCGTGAACTTTTTTTATTTACGAAAATTCTCGGAATTGGAGCGATTTTGGCCAATCGAGATAGGCAAACCAAACATTTTCTATTTAATTAGATACTAAAAACTCATTAACAGCCTTTTGCTTTCCACTTGAATTATAAGATAATTGTATCATAAAATCGATAAAAAATGTGGCCTACAAAACTATTGGGCCATATAGGGTAAACGGTCCAATATTTTCTTAGGCCACCTTTTTTTTTTTTTTTTTAATTTTATGATCAAATTAAATTACGTTTCAAGTGGAAAGCAAGGCAAATGGCTTTTTACGAGGTTTCAGTATCTAATTAAATTTATTGATTTGATAAGAAAATGATCAATTTCTGAGATAAAAAATTTGGAGGTTACGACATGTTGTTTGTTGAAGCCATTCACAAAGTCTTAGGCGCACGTCAATAATTTTATAAAAAGGGGTCTGTGGCATGGACTTATTATAGTATTTACCTGTAATTATTACATTAGTTTAGATTTGAATACACTTATCTTGGCTAAGAAGTTCCTCCCTTATCAAGGTGACCTCATTCCAAGTACCCATGACCGTCAACGAGATATGGGTGACGTGTACACGAACCCATTAAAAATGGCAATCAGTGATCCTTGTATGTTCGTTGCTTTCTTTTTCTCTGTTTGACGGGAAAATTAATAATTTGATGCTCTAGATATTTGTAAATTCCAAATTTGAGTTGAATTTTGATATCAATGGCGATTTGATCTTTAATCATTTAATGTCCATTTTCCAGGTTACGAGCTGAAGGAAATCGAAGATGACAAAAGCTGTTACAGCCAGGAGCTGCTCCCGAGCGGTAACAACGTAACCACTACCACGTTCAGCCCATCCAAAGAGAAACAGAAGTTAGTAAACAGCAGCCGAACAGTATTAAATATTAATAGTTTTAATAACATTTATTCTATCATAATAATTTTAGGATATAACCTGTAATGAGAAATCTATATAAATAAAATAAAGCTTTTGCCTGTACATTGAATAGAATCAACCCGTTTTATGATATCTTTCCGTTTCATACATTACAGACACCAAATCCACTTTTAAAAAATTTGTTGTCTGTCTGTATGTCCGCATCGCAACGAAATTTTGTCAGGGGTAAGCTCAGTAATGGCTTATTGTAGGCTTTTGAAATTTCGACATTATATTAAGGTTTGCTTGACTTAAAACATAGGCTTTAAATTAAAACAAAATATTGAGTAGAACCAAAGTTATGAATTCTTGAGTAATTGGTTTAGAGATCACGGTTAGGCAGTTACTTCGGTTCTAATCCCAACCTACTCTACTGCGAGCTACATTTAAAAGTTGTCCTACTCAACTGATGAAAAAAAATCCCACAACTCAACGAGAAAAATCCGGAATACCGAACATCTGTTACGCGTTGTCACATAAAACGGGTAAAACACACTCATTTTTCAACTATGTCCGATCTTCCCGTTCAAGATGTCATTCGGTTCAACTTCTCGAGCCTAACAAATGTTGTCGTATACATATTTAGGATTAATCAAACGGATTAGCCGAAAATCTGAAAAAAAATCTCAAAAATTTCACCGCGCCCTCAACAATATTCAGATCAAGTTTTAATTTTACACGGATGTAGATGACTCAATATCCAATGTTATTTTGCCAGTGATAAACTCAGCAGAGTTTAAAGAAGTTTAGAGACTACAATTCTTTTTGATTAATTAATCGACTCTACAATCTCCTCGCTTCATCATAAATGAAAATTAAACACTTAACAAATTTTAATAGTTCGGTGGTGGTCGGTTTAGTTGGGTGGTACCTAGACAAATAGCCGAATAACAATGTTTTTGTTATAGCTATTGCGAATCATGGGCTTTCATAAGCCCTGCCATAACAAAATTCAAAACAACCCCTCTCCTCCCTCTGGACCCAATTTTATGAAATTGAATTTGGACATAATACAAAATCAATCTCAAAAAAAGATTCTCAAATTTTAACTATACACCTGTCAACGATGGGTGCATCAGCTAGTGTTATATATATTCAATGAAATCAATACGTTATTGAATTTAGCTAATTTTCTATTCAACAACGGATAATGGCATTGATCTATAATATTATATAAATCTTAAACAGTGTAGTCCCGATCCACCCCGGGCTTCTCTTTCCAAAGGGTTGCCAAAGAAAGGGGATTTTTTTTTCTCAATTGAATGGTAGGGTTAAAGCACAGATAGCTGACAGTGTACCAATATCTGACACGTTCTTCGAAAAATGGGATTAGTTAGATTCCAGGATCTTCTAGAACTTTTTTTCAAAATTTTTTGGTTTCTATTTTTTATCTTTTTTCTTTGTTTGCTTTACTTTAATCTTGCCAGAAACCGTAACTGAAATAATCAGTGGCGAATTAGGAAGGTCTCTCACGGCCCACTTAGTGTCCCAGGAACTACCATCTATCACTGATATCACCATAACTTAGATTTTAATTTTTCTCTTAAACTACTTTCTTTTATTCCAAAAGGTTCGTTATTTCTTCGAGTGTTTTTAGAATTGGAATGAAGGAATTGGAAATTTAATTGGTTTCTGCTCCCCGAGCCTTATAATGGAGTCTTTGCCAAAATACCAGTAGTTGAGTAGTTGAGAGGTTTGTACTCTCATAAATTCAAAAAGACATATTTAATATAATGGGACTATGGGTCCGGTAAAAAATTGAGATTGGATTAAATATAAAGCAAAAATAGATTTTCCTATTGCCTAAAACAGTTTCTTGACATTGACCAACATTTATCGATAAATTTTATTCTGGAAAACGAAGTGAAGTTAGTTTTACATTAACTTAAAGGTAAATTTTGTTAATATCTATTTTAAAATGAATAATACAAAACTTCAACACTTTATTTCGCATAATTACATCGCTGTCAACCAAAGGACCATTTTGGTTCAAAAAGTATCAGCTGCAGGTTCAAAAAGTTTATTCTCTAAATTTACAATTTTTAAAAGTTTAGATGGGTGCTTCATGAATTTGATGTGCCTTGATAAGATGAGAAGTAGTTTTAGAAGATGAATTCAGGAAAAATAGAATAACATTAATATTTAAGATTTTATTGATAGATAAAAAATAACTTTATTCTGGAAGAAAGTAACTTGATAATAACAAAATTGAAAGATTACATCTGGCTTAATAAAAATAATAGAAAAAAAAAAGAAAAGAAAATATTCGGTGAACATGCTATATACTTCTTCTTCTTCTTTAGCTTCTCCCTTTCGTGCCTCTCAGTATAAGGCGGTGAGCAGCCACGAACTTCATCCACTCTTCTCTGTTCTTTGCCAGGTTCCTGGCTCGACGGAGATCTTTGCCTCTTCCTTTGTAGAGTCCAACGATGTACTCCAGATATGACATTCTTTGGCGTCCTCGCGTTCTTGCATCAGACGTAGGTTTCTTCTCCCCAGAAACGTCCTTTGTATTCTTCTTTTAAAGATGGCGGCCATCTCATCCATCTAAATTAGAAATAGTAATGGGCGCAAACTATCTCCTTGTTCGACGCCCCTTGCCTTGTCAAAGTAACCGGACTCCAACCTGTTCAGCTTAACTACTCCCTTTGGGATAAATGGACTTTAAAGCCTCCAAAAAGTTCCTTGGGAGGTTTTTAGCTCTAAGAGCCTGCCATATTTCATGTCTGGGAATTGTGTCAAATGCTTTTAGATTAAGGAAAGCTAACTACAGGTTTTTATCCCGGTTCCAAGATTTCTGCAGAAAATTTCTTATGAAGAACATAAGATCCTGAATTTTCCGTCCTAGTCTAAACCCAGCTTTGTCTCCCCCAATTAGGTGTTCGACTAAGGGCCTTAATCTTCCTCCCAGGACAGTCGTATAAAGCTTGTAGACCACTGGTGAGAAGTATATAGGACGATAGTTAGAGCATTCGGCCTGGAACCATTTCTTGTGAATGGGAATGATGACATTGTATTCCCAATGAGTTGGGATCCTCTTCTCGTTCCAGGCATTTCGATAGAGTACTTGTATGCTATATACAAAACACATAAAAATTTGTAAGAAACACTCTTTTTTTTTTGTTTTATTTATTTCTTAATGACATTTACAACTGTATTACATAAATACATCTAGTAAATTTGGACATAATAGATATAATGACATCAATAAACTTGCTGAGTAACTAGCCAATGGTAGCACTCTAATGGTATGACTACATTAAAAGATCACGTGGCCATCTTCTTTTAAGACGCCTCGGAGGGTTCTCAGGAATTACAGAGGAAGCAAGGTTAGAAACGAGAGGGTTGGGATGATTCTGAAGTTTATTATGGAAGGATAGGTATCTGGATTGGGCCAGATCTCAAACATAAGGAACATTAAGATCTTTATGGATAATTTCATTAGTGACAAAGTAAGGAGCATTGAGGATTTTACGAAGGATTTTGGATCGTAAGGATTGGATGAGAGAGGAATTCGATGGTTTAGTGGAGCCCCATAGCTCAACTCCGTAAGTCCAAATAGGTCTTATTATAGTCAAGTATATGAGTCTTTTGTAATTAATGGGAAGTTTAGAGCGTTTGTCTAGTAAGTGCTGAAGTAATCGGAAACGTCGAGCGGTTTCTTATCGTTTCAGTCCAGTATGAGGATTTCAAGTTAGTCGCTAGTCTAGGTGGAGTCCTAGGTATCGGATTTGCTCAACAGGGATAAGTGGAGTATTGTTAAAGGAAACTGTAGGACAGGCAGTCGTTGGTTTACGACGAAAGAAACACTCAAAACTAAGAAAATGAACTTAAAACTATGCACAGCGATAAAATAGTATAAATGTGCACTTTTAATAAAAAAATAAAGTAAAAATAAAAAATGTATTATATTCCTTAAAATAAACTCTGTGTCTTTGCTGAGAAGGTAATCTGAATCTGATAATATAAAATATCATAGTACTTACATGCTGAATAATAGATAAATACATCATGATCATTCCTTAACGTAAGGATAGGTAATTATTCAATTGTGTATGAAAAATAATACTTATGATAGTTACACTGATATGTAAAAGTCCAAAGAAATTTCCTGAAGCATACCAGCCAGCTACTGGTGCATTTACCTTAACTCATTACAAAAAATATTTAAAAAAAATTATAAATTCACCTCGTGCTTAAAATAATTCAAGCTGAAGAGTGTTTGAATATACTAATTTCAGGAATTACCAGTCTGATTTCAAAACCTTTTTTTTGAGCTAGATAGACCGTTTATAAAATATTTCTTTAGGCTCTAAAACATTATGATATGAACCATAGCAACCGACTAAAATCTCCATCAAACAGTTTCTCATAAAAACGTATGCAGCCTCTTTGAAGTTTTATTTTTCTCTATCGACAGCAATATTTTGACTTATCTCTAGATCAGGTTGTGGATAAAACTAATAGAAATATAAACCAAACTAAAGACGCTTTCTGCCTAGTCAGTTTCCTCACTATTCAGATAATCAAGTTTTTCCGTCATCATTTGTTTGTATCAGGTTGATAAAATCCACGAGGCACAGCAAGCCTACAATTAGATCAGTTGTCTAATCAATGATTCATTGTCACTTCAAATTTACAGGGGAGATGGACAGGATAACAAGAATGCATTACAATAAAAAAACTAGTTTATCATTATATTAATAATATTTCATAACTGGAATGGTGTCTTATGATTGTATTTAATGCTAATTTTACTACTTAGGAGCGAAGTATTAATCTTCAGGAATCTTTTAATAATAATCAGGATTAAGAGAAAAATATAGTATCTTATGTTTTAGGTTTCATCACTATAATTTACGAAATATGGAGTCAATTTTCCTATCTTATTTTAAAAGAGTGAAGTTTTGATTTTTAAAATACAATTTCCCATATCATCCATTACTGGTACTGGTACTGGTACAGGTGGGGAGACTTAGTCCGGCAAGTGGACCTATTGGTCCTTTTTGCTAACCCCAAAGTTTGCATGTCATCAATTAAATTAATTAGTTATTTGGGTCAATATAATTTTTTAATAATTATTTTATTGTTGCTTCTTTTTCTTGATTTTTAGTTCCATATCCAGTTAAACATTACCAATATTCACTAGCGGATCCAGAATTTAATTTTAGGGGGCTTCAACCAGAAAGATTTTTTTTTCATAAAAATAATTTAAAAAGAAAAAAGAGAAAGAAATTAACTACCTATATGAAATGGTGTTTAAGTGGTTCCTGATGTTCTGTTAAATGTAATTAAACAAACAAAAATACTTTAAGAGATAGTTTTTAATATTTTTTTCTGTAAAACATGGTTATATTTCACCATTTTGGGAGGGGCTTCAGCCCGAAAGCCCCCCGTCCCCTGTGGATCCGCCTGTTCCAATATTCAATTAAACAACCTCCCATTTATATTACTCTATATTTTTATTTTCATTAATCTTCATGGGAGTATTGATTTTCCACCTTTGCTTAATACGTTGTTGAAACAATGCTACCAAATGGGTTGTTTACAGCGAGTCGGTCTGTAGTTCCAGCTTGACCAAGCCGCCCTTCTCCTACGTGGCGTTGATCACGATGGCCATAGAGTCAACGCCGAACAAGAGGGCCACCCTGGCCGAAATCTACGAGTACATTATCAGGAAGTTCCCCTTCTTCGAGGCCAACAAAAAGGGCTGGCAGAACTCCATCAGGCACAACCTCAGTCTCAACGAGTGCTTCGTCAAGGTGCCGCGGGATGGAGGCGGTGAGAGGAAGGGTAACTATTGGACGATAGGTATGTCTAATAATTTTGTAATAGCTTATTATATATATATTATTTTTATTTTTTAATATGTCATATGTCTCTAAATACGATTTATCCTTTTGACGCACAAAACGCAATAGCCCTGGAACAAAACCCAAAAATAGACCTCATCTTAGGCGAAAGTTTGATTGTAAATTACTAAAGTGTATGTTATTCTGACTAAAAAGAACCTTGTCTGCGTTCCAGAGCCGCTATTTAAACGACTGATTTAAAGAATATTAGGCCAGTGATTTGAGGATCGAAACGAGAAATTCATTCCGAAAAATGTGAGAAAAGCTTTTATTTTTTTACTGGACATTTATTAGTTGACGGTTGCATTATAAAGGAAGGACATGGTCCGGGGTGGCGGTCATAAATAGGCTAAATAGTGGTAAAACTATTTTATTAAAAGACAACGTTTCGACCCGACTTTGCAGGTCTTCTTCAGGGTGGTGTGTTCAGCAAGGAGTTTCACTTAGAACTCTGGAACATTTAGAACGTTGGCTATTAATAAAAATATTAGTTGGTATTCACTGGACGCAAAATTTGATACTTTACAACTTTTATTTTATGGATTTTTCCTTGTTAGAAAATAATTTCCAAGTTGCAGGGCCATTTATAGCAATTTGTCTCAGTTTCTGACAAATTTGGTAAAAACCAGCGTTGGTTGACAGGGGTTTTATACCTTTCTATGTAACAAAATTATAAATTTTTCCATTCATTTACGTTATTACAACGTTATTTCAAGCCAATCATCATTATTAACAATGTTTTTGGCTAGTTATAGACAGCTTGAATATGAGTTAATTAGCTCGAAACGTTGTAATAACATAAATAAATGAAAAAATCAAAGAGAAAAATTCATTTTCTTACAAAATCTTTTTATAAGTACATTAAATTGTCCTTGAAATATATATTTCTGGAAAAGTAAATAAATTTATTATTTTGGTATTTATTTCAGAATCGTTTTCGTTCGATTACATTTGATTTTAATTCTAATGCACTAGATAGCTGCAATGATTTTTATTTCCCTCAAAGTTTGTAGTTTACAATAATATGAGACCCCATGTTCCATATTACTAATCAATTTACAATAATATCAGACCCTATCATCCCTATTACTAATCTTTTACAATAATATCTGACCCCGTCCTCCCTGTTACTTATCAATTTTCAAAAATATGAGATCCCGTCCTCCCTATTACTAATTAATTTACAATAATATCAGATCTCATTCTCCCTATTACTAATCAATTTACAATAATGAAATAGGTGTATGACCTCCTTTTTTAGACCCCCAACAGGGGCAAATGTTCGAAAACGGCAACTACAAGAGGCGAAGACGGCTGAAGCGGAGGTACCCGACCAGCAAACTATTCCACGAGAGCTCGTACCTCCCGAGGAGTTTATTCCCCGTCGGTACACCTTACCCGTACCCACCGAGGTAATCATTATAGTTGTATTCATTTTATTATTTATTTTATTTTTGTATTAACAACCAATACCAGTAATGGGGCTGAGTAAGAAGCGCTGGGATCTCTTACAATCCCTTTTTTATGCTCCACCATGAGAATGCTTTTCCTTTCATGAGTGAGGGGAAAGGCTTGGAGTTCTCCCAAGTAAATAAATTTTTTATAAAAGTATGTTTGAATTGAAGTTGATATTTTGATTAGTTTAGATTCTTTTGTTTTTATAAATTTACTTCAAGTATTATTATTTTGCTGTTTAATTAATTTTTATATATTTGTTGATTTTCTTAGACAGATGTGACAAAAAGTAATATTACTCAATAAAAAAATAAATGTAAAAAAAAAAAGAATTTACAAAATTCAAACCATTCCAAGTAACGTGAAGACAAATATGGTTTTATTAAAACAAAATAATAAAGTCTATCGATTTATATATCCTATGAATAGATATTATAAAATGAAAAGGAAGTACAATTCAGTATTTGTACTGACCCATATGTAAACTTATGTGACCAAAAGTTTCAACTAATAAAAACCAACTCATAACAATATGTATGCAGAGAAATTGGAATTTCTTCTCGTCAAAAAATGTTATTTTGTTATTGAAGTGGCTAAAGCGCCCTCTATCAGTCTCCACTGGCTTTAGTATCAGTGACACGGTTGAGAGAGTAGCGCAGGGATCTCTTGAAATCCTGCTTTTTCCTCAGAAGTTTGAGGGACAAGCCTGCCTCGGACTTTAATCGTCAGATTGCAAATACTGTATACAAGTAAGTCTGAATGAATGTAGTCTTACCTTACTATAACCATTGTCCATGGGACAGAATTTACTTATAGAATTTGAGTATTATGAGTTGACTACTGTGAATATGAAGGTATGAAAGAAACATAAAAAGTATTAGAAAAGAATGAATTTCAAAAGGTAGTGGAGGGGGCAAGAAAAAAAAAAAACAGAAATATTTTTATTTTTGCTAAAAGAGTAAATATTTAATACTATAAAGTTTGAAAATAGAAAAATACTCTTCTAATGTGAGTCTATGACCATCTATGAATGCAGGTTTGAACATGTAAAAACACTTAACGAAAAAATTCTTAAATACCATTGCCATGTATGTCTGGTTATCGCGTCTCTGCTCAGCGTTCACTGGTCCTTAATATCAGTAATGCGGCTGAGTGAGAGGAGCTGGGATCTCTTGGATTCCTGCCATTCCTTCCACGAGTGTGGAGAAAGGCTTGGCTCTAAGTATCCCTGCATGAATGCATTATATAAATATTGTGTTAAAGTATGTTTGTACCTTTAGTTTTAGTCATATTATTTTGCTGTTTAATTTATTTTTATTGTATATTTGAATGTGGTCACTGAACACTATTATAGATGTCCTTAATTGAGACGGATTGCAATGTTCCTTAATAAACAATAAAAAAAAAAAAAAAACTTATAGTGCATAACAGGAATGGTGAATAACTCTATTTAATTTTTGTTTTATGTCAATTAATATTCTTAAAATAAATATAGTCTATAAAGTTAAAATTTTCCTGAATATTACATAGGTACAAAGATCGACCAACGTTTTTTTCTATCAATGACAAATTTCTTTTGTGTGTTTTTTTTTTTTTAAACATATGCATACACTAATACTGCAGACTCATAAATTTATTATAAAGAAAGCATAATTTATTTTTTAATAAAGTAATGTTGATAAACCATTCCGTAAAGTTGCAGTGCTTGGGGAATGCAGAACTCCCAACTGCCGTACGCTTCGACCTGCCAGAGTTCCTTGCCCCGTACGACGCAGGCCAATTACGGAACAACTTTGCAGTCACAAGTAAGTGAAGTTTATCCATAATCTATGTAAATATATAGATGAATTACATATAAATACAATGTTAAATACAATAATTTAAAAACACGAATCAACTTCAAGTAGTGATCAGTAAATTAGGCTAAGCTCTGAAACAACCTTTCAGTATTGGTGTCAGATTTTCAGTTTAATGGCGTTAGATTTTGCAATAAAATTCACATTGTGAATTTTGATTTTCCAAGCAATAATTCAGACATCTTTTCTATACTGTTTAGAAAAATGTGACCGCACAAAAAATGTTGTTAAAATATTTTAATACTATAATTAATTATAGGTCGCGTGGGAAGATAGGAAAGCAATCTGCTTGTATTTGCATTCCTCATTCCTCTTTTTTATAATATTTGTTCATAAATAAATGTTAAGATTTGATGGAGCAATAATAATTAATATGATATTAAATCAATGCCGAATCATATAAATTCATAATCTCTTCCTATCAGTTATTAAAAAATAATATTAGTCATTAAATTAATAAATAAGTTTAGGATACATTCAGTGAAGGGCAAAATTTATTAAATAATGATTAATAGATAGAGAATGATTTATTAAAAAAAAATAATTTCGTACATTTTTTATTTGTTATCTTAAACAACAAAGTACCTGATGTTATAAATGTATTTTATACTATAGATTTTCAAATAAAAATTTGAATAATTAAATTGTAAACTTCTTTTAGCGATGTCAATAAAATAGTGTGAAATTTTGATTTCGTTTTTCCTACTTTATCTAGTGAATGAATAGAGTTTTTTTTTTTTTACATTTAAAACTATTTCTAGACAGTTTAAAGTGAAAAAGAGTAAATTAGTGAACATTTGTTTTATCATATAAATGGTTGATCGGGTTAACTGAAAGAGAGAAAAAAGAATGAAAATTTAAAAAATTGTATTTTTATTTATTCTTTCATTCACGCAATTATTCTTTTTTTTTTTTTGAGAAAGAAGATGGTCCGGAGTGACGGTCATAAAAATACTGAAACAATAATAATATATAAAAAATAATATTTTTATTTAAAGCCAACGTTTTGGCCCAACTTTGCTGGCCTTCTTCAGGGCTAAAACGAACAAAATAAAAAAGGATTTAAAAATGTGAAAGTTACTTGATATTTAGATAAAAATTATAAACAGTGTGAATACATAAAAAAATATTAAAAATATGAATAAACTTATTAAAATTGTAAAAAGTGTAAATAATAAGTACATTAATGACGAAAAACTGTATAAATAGAATAAACGAAGTATAACTAAGTAGCCAGATCCTAAACTGAAGTAAATAAATGGTAACAATTATAGTAGATAGCGAAAATTAAATGTAATAAGGACGATTGGTAATATACGTAATTATTTATATTATGTATAATACATAATTATTTAATAAGTAATTACGTATGTTACATTCAATTTTTCTTAAATTCCAATGTACTCTTTTCGCACTTTTACCAATTTGATTAGTTTATTCACATTGCTTATAATTTTTATCTAAATATCATGTAACTTTCTCATTTTTATGTCATTTTGTATCTTGTTCGGTTTAGCTCTGAAGAAGATTAGCAAAGTTGGATCAAAACGCTGGCTTTAAATAATTTTTTTTTCTCGCTATTTCAGTCTTTTTATGACCGTCTCCCAGGACCATCTTCTTACTCAATAATATACAATGGTCAACCTTCAAGTATTCAATATTCTCTTTTTTATTTTTTGCCTATCTCTGAGCTATCGAAAAACAGTTTTAATTGCAAAAACCGTTTTAATTTTCAAGCTTTCACAAATTAGAAATCCATAACATGAGTATTAAACTGTGAATAAGTGTGCTTCAGAGCTTAGTCTAATTTTGAAAGCAAGATCCAGTCATTTCTTTGTTAATAATTTATAACTGTGTACATTTGATAATTATTAAGTTTAACGACTCCATTTGCTACGCAGTGCGATCATTGCACAGTGTGGCACTGTAGCGTTCACTCCAAGTGCAGAAATACGGAAGCCAACTTTGGCTACCGCCGCCAGTGTGAGAAAGAGACTATCAAATATGTGAGTCAAGTGATAACGTAGCATTAATAATTCTGGCTCATCCTATCTTAGGCGCCTGTAGTAAAATATAACTAATTAAATGCTTATAGTAAATCATATTTTAACACCCATTTTTCTTATAGCAATATTTTAACACAAAGTAACAGGCATGTGTTGGCAGGATCTTAAAAGTGAAATTCAGTGGCGTTCCTTTTCGGGGCAGGGAGTGGTCTTATTTTTGGGAATTTCTAAAAACAAAAATTAAATTAGTAATAATAAAAAAAAATATTGTTTCATCCATATCTATCAAAGTATTATTGTTTTTAATGATCAAATGAATAATTAATCTACTAAAAAATATTTACTTACTTAAGATATGACTGGAACATCCGAAATATAATTCTGCACAGTTAACTTACCAATTCAGGCATCTTTAGGGCAGAAAAACAAGATCATATATATATATGGAGAAAGAAAAGAAAAATGAAAGGAAAATACATATTGAAGAAACGGAAGGTTGCATAAACATAGCAAGGGAAGGTTATATCAAACAGCTGTTAGAAGATATATTGGATGAAACAAAATACTCATTTATATTTTGTGTTCAAATTATGTTATTATTCCTCTCCTTTTATCTCATCTAATCAGCTGTTATTTCTAATATAACCTTTATTTGCCGGTTTTATGCAATCATCTAGTTCGTGGTACAAGATACCTTGCTATCGAATTATTAACATCCACCTGAAATTTCGTAAATAGCTTCATCTCATCGTAACCTACAACTATTTTATTTACGAAAACTCTTGGAATTGGGGCTTTTTCAATCAAACAACTGCAATCAAACAGTTAAATTGCAGTTAAATATTTTAAACAATTACAAAATATCTAACTCTATATACTTATTAAATACACCAATATTGAAAACAAAAGTAAAAATATAAGCTTTAATAGATCATGGCTCTGATATCTCAAAATAAATTTATAGCATTTGTGAATTTATACAACAAAGATCTCTTCGTAATAATGTATAAAAAATTCAATATTATTTCTTGATATTCTCTTATAAATATATTTTATATTGTTTAGATATTAATCTTAGTTATAGGTATGATTGAATATATGAAAACTTTTTAATAAAAGTCTTCATATATTCAATCATACCTGCAACTAGTTATTCTTAATGTATTTATAAAATAATTGTAATATCTGGAACTCCTGAAAGATAAATCAAGTACATAAAAAATGTTTGTTTATTCTTTCAAGTTATAAGTTTATGCTCATTTTAAAGTTGTTATTCTTGAGTTAAACTGTATTAATATAAAATTAAATAAATCCAAAAAAAATAATGTTAAGGCTGGTTGAAGTAAACATTTTCTTTTTTTGGAACGAAATCTTTCAATTCAATTTTTAAATATTCTCTTGCTGTGGGATCCCTTGCTTAATAGAGCCTGGGGTGAACCGCCCCCCAACTTTCCCCCCTCCCTGGGAACGCTACTGGTGAAATTTCCTGCCAATGAATGTAGTTAACAGTTGTTTTAGTTTTGAATTGATGGAATCCAACTATTATTATTGGCTGCCGAATTTCTTCGCTTCTGATTTCATTGTAGAATCATTCTTAGCGTTAAATAAATTCTTAATTCTTAAATTTATATATTAGTATCTGTAATTATGATTTTCATTATTATTAAAAACTTCTTAAATGCTTTAATCTTTTCTGATCTTAACTCTATCCTTCAATTTTATATCTTATTTAACGATTGTGCTTCTAAGTTGATAAGATTCAACATTATTGAATATAAATATTCATTATTAGTTTTAAATTCATGTTATTTAAGTATTATTATATTTATTATAACAAACATAAAATAACATAAATAATTTATAAAATCGTTCATTTAATTTCAGCTGCAGGCTCCACTTCAACCTGTTCAATCGATGCAGGTCTCCACTGGTATGAATGCATATAACCAACTTGGTCCTATGGGTAAGTTCCTAATCTTTAATTTTAAAATAATAATAAAAATAAATTTAAAAAATCACTCTAAATAATTTTGAAATTGAATTTTTATATATGTAATTATTTGTAAATACAATATATATAGAGTGTCGGGGAGGTAACCTATAGTGTCCAAGGGTTGTCACGATTCGGGAACAATAGTAATAAAGAGAAACAATATTCTTTAAAAGAGTCCTATTTCTATCTGAATTCTATTTTTTTGTTCATTCCTTTTCGATTTTGTTTGAAATTTCATGGACGACAAGTAGAAATTATTATTTCTTACCTCAATTACAATTGCAGTTTTTAAAAAATTACTGTAACCTGGTTGCTGTTTAAAAATTTATCGGCCGTCGATAGAAGAATAGCATGAGAAAATAGGCGGTTTGCCGATTTATGTGTATGGGGTGCCTAGTGAAATTTTGTTCCGGATTCCTACATCCTCGCGATAGCCTTGTTTACAAATAATATTATGATGAAAAACAAATACATTTAATAATTTTTAACATTTTAAAAAACATAGTGTAAGAGTCAGGACTTCCTTCAGCAGTTTCCACCAGATGGCTGAAACTTGTGTTTCCAGCGGTCCAGTTTTGAGTGCCCAACAAGACTCCAGCATCTGCTTCCACACCGTCCCGCCACCTTGTCTCAGGTTGTCTACCCTGTCGTATGAAAAAGTTCCTCTGTCATCAGATTTTTAAGGGTTCTCAGGCTCACCCTGCGGGGACGTTTTGGACAGAAGGGATACTAGGACCCAGCATATTCCTGCCTTACTCAACTGATCTTTTGGAATATTCCAGACAAGACTGATCCCACAAGGACTACACATACCTGGAAATTCTTGAAAGAATAGGAAATGCTTCCAGAATCTAGTAACGGATAATTATGTAAGGAGCGAGGTAACTTAGTGGGTATGCACTGCCTTCCAATGCTCAAGATCCTGGTTTCGAATCCGACTGATGACAGGTTATTTTCATAGCCGTTGATCGACCCTGGGGCCAGGGGACCCTTCTGGAGACACACCCAGCCTCTACATAGCGGGTAATATTAATTAAATAATAATTGAAAGAAAAAAACTGGCTGTTGGGCGTGAACCCGTCCCGATCACCTCTCGGTGAGCACAACATTTGCTCTTGAAACAGTATTTTTTACACAGTACTGAACCCAAGACCCGTAATGGTGGTAAGAGGTCTCTTCTAAACACTACCTGAAATCATGCCTATTTGAAACAAAAAGCAACAAAATTTTTTTGTAGTTCGTATGTTCTTGTTGGTCTCCGTTCTTATACGATAGGCCTGATCTTTCGGCATTATTTCCTTAGTTACTCCTACCAAATGTCGTAGAAGGTTATTTTTTGTATCTGCAGGATGCTATTTCTACCACAAATGCTGCTCTCTCCTCATTAAGTCCTTGAGAGAAAAGTTTGGAGTCATTAGGCATTTTTTAGTTATTCGATGTCCTTTGATCTTTGAGTATATGAGTACCTTTCTTTAGGAATGGTAGCTATTGCAGCATTATTAAAGATGATAGAAAATTTGTTATACAACATAAATAGCCCAATATTTGATTTACTTTAAATACTTAATTTAAAAAAATGAAATCTGTACGTACCTTAATATTAAGAAATGAGTACTTTATTCCCAATGGGAATTTTCCATTTTAATTAAATTGAAACTTCACAAATGTCGATATAATTCTTCCAATATTAATATTTAATGAGTTTCACAAAAATATCATTATATACATTATATATTCTATAGATTATACATTATATATTATTTGTTGACAGTTGACTTGGGTAATGGAAGTAACAGCTTCACGAACTACAGCCAAAGCTGTGCTCGCAAGTACGACACGACTACAAGCATGGACCCGGTGCGCTACGCACCCTACTGGCCCACCATCACTGCCGAGCAAGAAGCGACAACCACCCCACCCAGTCAGTATATAATCATGATAATCACTAAGCAATGTATACATAAACATACCATATGTTAGCTCCCTCTTAGTTTATGTCGAACTTCGAATGAAGCCGAACTCCAAGGGTGGCGGCGAAAGTTCGTGGACGGTATTTATCCAACATTAGTCATTTGCGTAATATTGTGGAATGGAATGGACGGTCGCAAAGTTCTTCTGCTTTTATTATCTTTATGTCATCTTTTAATGTACATATGACAGCCGCTCAAACTTCAGGAACGAATTTGCCGATTGCTTGATTCGAAATTTCAAAAAAATACTGCAAACTAGTAAAACTTTCACCAGTGGCTAGAAATCGTACTATTAAAGCGAGCTTATCCTGAGACGATATAGCTTTTCGGAATTTAGTACCTTTTCTTTGAATAGAAAATTGGAGATGGATAGGATAGATAGAGATAGTATATTTATGTAGTGCTCGCTTTGTTCTTAAGATCTGAGATCCAAAAGTAAGTCATTCTCTTCATACAATTTTGCTCTCCAATAATAAAGTCTTCTGTAATCTACCAAAAAATGGATAAAAATGAAGGCTGCACTTGACACTAGCTCGGACGACATTTTGTTCTTTCAACGATGACGTGAACACTCAAGAGCACTTCAAGAACGCCGTTGAGGAACATAGTGGATTACTCGGCTTTAGATTCCAAAATTTCTTAAGATTTTTTTTTTACTAACAGTTATTTTTTATTTCACTTTTTTACCAGATTTTATTGTCAACAATTTTTAAAGGCTTAGTATTTATTAAATAAAACCGTTATTGATAACTGCCATGCGTTTCGGAGGCTTGATGCAGAAATAACCTATTAAGGAATGGTTTATAAGCCCCATGGTCATAGAACACAAATAAGAAAATCTAACTGATGAGCACAGGCGCTATTTTTTGAATTGGAAGTAAGGTACATTCTCCCCTCCCCACAATTTTTTATTCAAGGACCTAGAGATACCCACCCTCTCGATGTTTTAGTCATTCGTTCCTCCATATCCAGTCATATAATTCTCCCGTATTATTTATTATTATTATAAACAATATGTGGCCGGTTTACAAACGATTGGCAGATTTGGAAAAGAAATTCTATAAAATCTTAAACTCAAACAAGCTAATTAAGGCAAGATCAGGTAGATACATCATTTTGAAAAAAGAATTAAAATGCGTTATATGTCCTTTTTTCTCTGAAAACTCATACTCTTATAGTATTTAATGAAAAAAATAATACTATATACGAGCATTAAATATCCTAGATAGCTCATTTAAAGTCCTTAAAAAAGTGCTTGAACTTGGAGGAGTATTTCGAACGACCTTTCTTGATTCGATTCTATATATATATATATATATATATATATATATATATATATATATATATATATATATATAAAAAAAAAAAAAAAAAAAAAACCTATACCATTACAACCGACAAAGAGTCTTGGGTACAGTACAATGTGAGGAAGTACTGTTTCAAGGCCAATGGTTGTGCAGGGAGGTGATGGAGCCGATATCACGCTCAACCAGATTTTCCCCTTAATTATTTTTTTAATTAGGGTACCCACTTTATAGAGGCTGGGTGTTCCACAGGAGGGTCTCCCGACCCAAGGGTCGATCCACCGCTAATGAAAAATTACTAATCATTTGCCGGATTCGAACACAGGACCTTGAGCTCTGGAAGTCAGTGCTCACCCACTGAGCTATCCTTGATTTTATATAAATTTGTATAATGTATATTGTATTAATTCTAATCTAATTTATAGTTTTTGAAGTGAAAACATTAGGCGCGTTTTGCATTTTTTTTTTTTGTAGAGAGTGAATTAGATTGAACCGTGGCCGCTAATGACCCGCTCGGGTAGATGCTGAATGTAACAATAAATAAATAAATAAGATTGAACCGTCAGATCTCCAATATCTGACGCTAGGGTAAAGTCGGCTGGAGTCGAAGTGTTTTTTTCATATGAATTAAAATATCTCAAAAACTAAAAATTGGACCTGCATATTGTTCGCGAGAGAAATGCTCATCATTTCATCCTCTTTGTAACGCGCTGTTATTCAAATTTTTTCCTTAATGCGAATCCGTGTTAGGAAGGTGAAAAGGGAAAATTGTGGCGAAAACCTAATGATGAGTTTAAAATATCTCAGTACTGTAAGTGAGACAAATGTTCAGCATTTCATCCTCTATAATATTATTTATAATTTATATTTCATATAATTTAAAAGTTTGAAGAAGTTTTCACTTTTATCGTGTGGTCTAAAGCACACACCTTATTATTATTTTTTTTTAATTTAGTTTAATTTATGTTATTTATTTTGCTTACGTTCTCTGGGTTTTGAGTGGCATATAAATGTATTGTAGTATTTTAAAATCTAGATAAAATCATACTTTTTGTATAATAAGGACGTCACATTTACGGCTTTCTATTTAATTCTAAAATCCATGTATCCCTTGCTTTCCCTCCACATGTGGGGGAATAAGTATGGTTCGGAGTTCCTATGGCCGACTGTAAATAGTGTAATAGTTATGCCTGCGTATAAGATGTTTATTTTCATTACTTTTTTTTTTTTTTTTTTTTTCTCACTATGATATTTTATTTTGTTCTTTTGTAGCTTTATATTATTTGAAGTTAGCTTATTTTATTTATTTATTTATTTTTTTTTAATTTGTAAATATGGTGTGAATGTGCTCTCAGAACTCTATTATAAATGTCCTTTATTGAGACAGATTGTAATATTTATAAATAAAAAAAAAAAATAAAAAATAAAAAAAAAAATCCATGTACAACTTTTACCATATAATATTCAATTAGCCCTTTCTCCACTATTTCCTGAGTGCCTATATTGATATGTCTTTATTATAATATAAGCACATATTTCTTAATATGATTCAATCCTAACCATCATATTCTGATTAACCACAAGTTTTTACAGTCAAGGAGGAACTCCTAGGACAGCCTACGAACAGTATGAACTTCAATGGAAGTCTAGATTTCGCGTTGTCATCGACAAGATCCAAGTGCTACATGTAAAGGTATATTTTATATTTAATCTCAGCAAATGAGTCAGTACTAATATTTAGAATATTTCTTCTATCCTTGTGAAAATGCACCGAATACCGGGCATCGAACAAAATCAACAAGATAAAAATAACATGAGAAGTTTAACAATATTTACTAAAATAAGTGATGGAATTGTTATCAGCATGCGCATTCAAAGGGCAGGTTGATGTACTGAATGATCAGCCCCACTTTATGTGAGGTGTTGATTTATTTCTGATAAGAAAGAAAATGATGTGGTTGAGTAAGCAAGCGAGAAATGTGGGTAATTGGAAGGAGTGGAATGGTGTTTTGAGTGGTTTATTTTTGGGGAAACAATTAAACAATGGAAAATACATTTTATAATGCTATTTTCACATATATAGTTTTTAAGAATACGATAGGATAACATCATTTGGGAGGGTGGGATGGTCTCTAGTGTTGCCCAAATGCGAGACCGAGACGAGCCTTGGTCTTGCAAACTCAGTCTTGGTCTTGCGCAAGAGTCTCGCAACGGTGTTGCAGTTACCTATTAGGTTAGTAATATAGAAATATTACTATATTTTTTAAGATAGGCGAAACCTAAATAAGCCCGAATGAAAAATTAGAAGAGTTAAATGCAAAAGTATATTGGTTACACCTATTCTTTACATACAGTATCTAAAATTGTCAAGCATTAGTAACCGTTTCGCCTTAATTTTTATTTAAAAAATCGATTTTTTTTATCCGTCTTGGTCTTACTCTTGGCCTTGCAAAGTGCAAGTGAAAGACCAAGACCTATTTTGGGCAACGCTAATGGTCCCTTCGGAAACATACTAAAGTTTTTTAGCTCATGGTTTCATAAAGTAAAATTGTTTTAACAATTTTTTTAAATGTTTTTTTTTTATATTTCATGTCATTGTTTTGATTTACTATAGTAACTCAGTAATACGCAATAAGCAATTCTAGAAAGGAGGCTATCTATATATAGAAAATAACCTACAAGGATAAGAACCCTTAAGCATAATAAGTATGTACAAATAAACAAAATACATATTTGGCCTGGACTACATTAACGAGAATTCAAGCAATATATCAGATATAAACAACAGAAATCAAAGAATAGAAAAGATAAATTGAAAGAAACATTATGAGTTGATTCTTAATGTTAAAACTTTAAAAAACAGAACAAACATTCACATCTTTCAAGGTTCCTTTTATAAAATATTATTTCATGATTGTAGAGCGTCAGTTTAGGATGTGAGTAACTATTATTAGTAAAGACGATTTTTGAATGATGATAGGCAAGAGGTCTGTATTAGATGACAGCGAATTCCATATGGCAGTGGAGCGGGCAAGAAAGGTACGTTCAAAGATTTTATTTTCGTGGGAAGGGGTAAAAAGTTCAGAAATAATAGATCTTGTTTTCTACAAGTGCACTGAAATCAGAGTTTGAACTGCAGGAAACTGTAGATGTAGGAAGTTTATCGGTTATTGATCGTTTGGCATAGGTAAGATCCAAGGAAGGAAGGTTGGTAAAATGAAAGGAGACACGTTTTAACTCGTCTCAACGCTGAGACCGTCAGGAGGTATCAAACAGAAATTTTAATTAGCAGTCCATTACTTGCATCATTGTCTGCTCCAATACAATCGGGGAGCCACTGTATACAACACAGCCATAGTCTCAAAGTGGGGGAAAATGGTTGAGAATTCAAAGAGCTCGTGGATAGCTAGTGGAAGTTGGTGAAGGAAGTAATTAAATAACTAGAATGATATCCATTAATTCTATGCTATACAAAAATTAATTCAGATATCAAAATAAAGGGAAAATTAACTACGGTTAACTATAGATTGATGATATCGTTGACAGCTGATTAAAAGTTTGAAGTAAAGTAGCTTTGGTGATCTGCCAAGACAACCATTACTAAAAGATAATTTATTTTTTATATTAGTAATAATTATTATCAATAAGGCTGGTGACAGGACTTCATCGGGCAAGCTGTGAGGACTAAGCTATTTCTGTGGCGCAGGACATTTCGGTTTCAGCTGTTGGCACTAACTCAGGCGGGGATATTTAGCCCCCACCCTACCTCGTTATAAATACCGCGGTATGATTACAGTAATCTATCATTAGGGTCTTCAGCAACTTGTTGTTTTCATCATCTTAGAAAAAAAGTATAGTACTAAAAAAAATTCTAAAATTGTTTATTATAAACAAAAACCTACAACCCCGGAAAGGCTTCGAGTTTAGTGTTATGTAAGGACGTACAGTTTCAAGGCCAACGGTTGCGGATGAAGATGATCGGGCCGGGATTCGTATTTACAAACCCTATACGGATTCATACACCCTGAATGTACTCGTGTAGGGTTTGTAGCGGCCATGGAAACTGCTCCATTACAAACCTTATACCGATTCAGACACCTTAGCTCTGCCTGTCCACAGGAGAACTTTACTCGTTTAAAATTATTATATATATATAATACTTATATATTTAGTAGTTAAAATAAAATTATGGAGGATCACAAAAAAAAAAAAAACATAGGTAATGAACGGTACAACAAATCCTTATATATGGGACTATATATATATATATATACCTTATATATATAACACTATCATGTTACTCTGACATTCCCCCCCCCTCCAAATATTTGTAAGTGCCGATACCTGTGACTTAGTCAGTAAAATGAGTAGACATTATTCTATTACATTTACTTCTTCTGATTCAAGACACAAAATTTACCTTATATTCAAGTCAGTAATTTTCTTGTAGGTAATTCTTATTTGGTATCATTGTTATGCGAAATTATTTATAAAGTATGCGATGGTTATATTTTGAGGATTGCTTAGGGACTGTTTCATCATTAGTCAATACCACCAAGCTGCTCATCATAACGACAGGTCTTGACCACAGACAACATGACTCAGTTCACCGAGACTTGCTGGTCTGGGTTCACCTTGGAGTGTTGTGCGCCGTGCCAGCGTTCTCGAAAATGTGACTCACGCGACTGAAACAAAACTCACTAGCAGTATAAACTAACGCCTATCTAGCCTAACGTTTCCATCCTTTGAAATAAATAATCGTGATTGTATTCAGACTGAAAATAGTATCATTACTTATCCTGGCGTTATTAAGGATGTATTGATAAATAATAAACAATTATATAATAAATATATTTTACTAACTAAGTCCGCTAGTGTTCCTCAAGTGATGTATACTCGATCCCATCCTCTACACAGTTTATACAGCTGACATCTAACACCATCATTGCCGCATATGCGGACATATGTCAGTTAATAATGATCCATTCAATACTTGCAGTTCTATTTTGTCACATATCACAAACCTTGAAGTATGATGTACAAATTGGAGGATTAAAATAAATTCTAACATATCTCATCAAATCACCTTCAACCTATGATATTGTAAACTTATGACTTCTCTGATGGGTCGATATCCGATGATGCTACAACTTATTCGTTTGTAACGCATAACTCCACACATAAAATAAAACTACATAAACTAAGCAGCATATACACAGCGGAACTTCACGCAATAGCCTCAGCCCTCCACTTCTGCATGTCTATAACTCCAGCCTCGATAGTCTTGATAACCGACTCCTTGAGTTCATTAAAGAGTTTAAATGATATGTACTCAAAACATCCAGTTATATCCACCCTGGAAAATTTAGGAAAATCGGTTTGCTTTATATGGGTTCCCAGTAACGTGGGTATAGTTGGTAATGAGCTTGCGGGTACTCAGGTACTTGCATTCCCAGACCGATGTACTCCTATCCTGACCCCTCCAGAAATGAGTTTTCCTCTGAAAAAAGAAATATTGGATAGTTGGCAGTCTATGTGGAACGAAAGCCCACCTAGCAAATTAAAAGCTGTTAAAAAATCAGTGAAGCCCTGGATCACATCAAACCGCCGTAATCGTAGAGAGGAAGTCGCTGTAACCAGGTTAAGAATAGGACACACGAACCTAACCCATGTACATCTCATCACTAAGCAGCCACCACCAATTTGTCAGCATTGCAATAGCCTTCTCACAGCCAATCATCTTTTCCAAGAAGGCACTTATTATACTTCAAGCCTAAATCGATTATCTCTAAAACCGGATATATCAGCATTATTAAGCAACAACGAATCAAACATAGGAACCGTGATAAAATTTCTTAAAATCCATAGACTATTAAATAAAATATAAAAATAGATATAATTTGTATTTTATTGTTCTTTTTTTTATATTTATTTTTAATATATTTCATTTTTTGTATGTTATTAAATATCTTTTCCATTTATCATTCTATCTATTATTAATTATTAATTCTCCTCTAGAGAGTTTACAAATATAACAGACTCACAGGCGTTGATGGTTTTACGCCTTAAAGCCTAAATAAACAAACACACCTATGACTTTTTGCCCTACTGTATATTTTAATAACACACTTATCCCTGTTGAAAATTAATAGATCTAACAGAGCTATATAACTTGAATTATTGATAGAAAATTGAAGTAGACAGTTCTTAAGAATAATGTAATTTTGACGATGCCTAGATATAAATGATTTATTTTGACATATATTTATGACTAATTATTTTGTTTTATTTTTTCAGGTTACGAAATACTCAGGGCTGATTCGAATCATATGTTATGCAGTATTCAATATGATATAAGTTAGGGGTTATGATTTAGTTACCCTAAATCCCAATTAATGTGATTTGACCATGTTATTTTTAACATTTATGTTTTGTATATTCCATGTTTATTTATTTATTAAAAATGAAAAACTATTTTTTTTTCGTTTTTTTTTTTATTTGTAGCTTGTATTTTATGAATAAATACACAAGTGTCTTTGATTTGAGGTGGTTTTGTTTTTCTAAATGAGTCTTTCTTCTTTATCACATTTATTTCTCTCATTTATTGTTACTCAATCAATTTAAAGGAGTGTAAATCGTAATACATTTTTCTCCAAATCTTGCTTCTTTAATTATAATTAAAACAATATATATGTAACAAAATATAATAAAATATACGTAAGCATAAAAACATGTCAACATGACATTATGAAAGTTGAAAAAAAGTATATATAATAATGATAATAATTTATATTGCTCAAAAGTACAAAACATTATAACAAGGAGGATGAATAAATATAAAAATATTGAATAAAGATAGATAAATTAGCTTTATTAAGAAATAATTTGCTAAACTTTTTACCAGACGCTATTTTCTATTAATAATTTAAAAACACAATGACCCGAGCCTAGCTTTATTTCGATCGAGAGAAATAGGCGACTTTCTGACCAATCCTATTTCATATCAAATAAATAGAAAAATACGGTCATATGTTTATCACGAAATGTGTATCATATACTTTTAAATGAAGTTACTCAGAATTAGGTGGGCATCATTCATAGGAATGAAAAGGTAAGTCAAATCATCACATTTATTACAAAATTGTAATTTAAATAAGTTGTAGAGAGCTTTATTTATCCTACTATTCACATTCATACTATTTAAATAAAATAAATAATCCAGGAATAATTATTCAATCAAACTCTTAGCCCTACCCTAATCCTTTTTCTTTGTTATTGATTTTTTTTAATATCAATTCACAGAAAGTATTATAGACATAGTGAGTGCTATATCATTAAAACTGATCTGTTTATTTATAAATATGGATAGATGAAAGCATCGTTTTATTTTGGTTGGAGAGGATTATTAATTTAAATTGTATTAATCCAATATTATGTGATTAAAAAAGTAGATGTGCTTCCAGCATTTGAGTGATAGTAAGAAGACATTATTATCATGTATACTCTGAGTGAAATGGTGGGTATGATGTTAATCCGTGGTATGTATAATGAAGTATCAATAATGGTTTTTAAGACATTTCAGTTGTGGCTAGCATGTATGACATATTACACATAGTTGCAAATTCCAGGAGGGGAGGCGATAGTTCCCCAATGAAAAATAGAGATGGGGCGAGAATATTGTTTTGCCCTTCCCCAATAGAAGAACAAAAATAAAGTTAAAATCAATAATTATTAATCTACATGAATGAATAAAATACGTAAACAAAAACAATTAAGAAAACAGGAAAATTTGACTAGATGGCTAAACTGGGAAACTATTCCAGTAAAATGTAATGAGAAACACATCCATTTCAATTCTCTCTCCCGTCAGTCTATTTAACTTTTTTTTCTTTCATGTTCGGAATACCAGGGGTTATTTAACATTAAGGATTCGGTTTATTGAGACCATATTGTAATGAAACAAAGACGGGAAACACACGAGGGTTTAAGGATGGAATCCTTGCATTTTAATAACTGCTATAACTTTAATGATAATGATAATAATAAATAATAACAACGAAACATTCTGGATAAAAGTGCTGTGCTGCATATCAACAAAAGATTTAAAAAAAAACAAATGGTAATGAGCTCTCTAATAAGACAGTGATCGACAGCCTGAACGGAAATACCTCGTACAGGTATCTTGGTATTTATCAGCTTTTAGAACTTAACAAAGACTTTAAAAGGCGTGTAAAGATCATCCTCAAAACATATTTCCGAAAAAATATTATAAAAGCTTTAAATACATGGGCGATTCCAGCTTTATCCTATTCCTTTGGCATTCTAAAATGGACTAATACAGTTCTGGATACCATAGATTCTTATCTAAGTGTGCAAATGACGAACTCCCGGAAACGTCATCCGAAATCATCCGTTGTAACAATGAATCTATCGAGAAAAGATGGAGGAGGCGGGCAACGCAAGAGGGATTTGAGAATGGAATCCTTGCATTTTTACAGAGGGGATCAATACAAAACATAACTGAAAATTAAAATTACTCCACGTTTTTGTTACCCAATTCAGCTTTTCGGAGATAAAGTTTTTTCTGAGCTTGCTTAATTTCATATTTTCAATTGTTACTTCATGGCTTAGGACGGTAATTACTTTCTTACTAATGAGACTTATTAGACCCCTAATTAGAATGGTAAGTCTGGGCCTTTGGTTTCTAAGATATTTCAATTTTGACTCGCATATTTGGGAGATCATTTTTTAAAAATATTTTGGTATGTGAAAGAAAAAATTCCTCAGCCGATTCCTCGTGACCACAGATGGATGAAGTTGGCGCCTCCAGGCTCTTTGGGATGGAGGTAACAAGTCGGCTGGGGGTTGGAAGGGGCGGTCTTTGTAGGCGTTCCCCTAACCACAGCCATACTGCTATCCTAACTCGAGTGGGCTGGGAGGCCCAGCAGCGCGTTGACATAACTGGCAAATGTAGAGCTATTTATTAAGAAGTCTCTTTAGTAACAAAGTAATTACCGTCCTAAACCATGAAGTTACAGTTCAAAATATGAAATTAAGCAAGCTTAGAAAAAACTAACAGAAAAAAGCTGAGTTGGGTTACAAACAAGTGGGGTAATTTTGATTTTCAGTTATGTTTTGTTGTTGTTAACACTATCTTTATTATTCTCGCTTTTGCGGATTCAAAACTGAAACTATGTTAAAATCTTCCATGTAGCTCTTTGGACTTCCACGTATCAAGCAGAAGTTCTTCATTTATGGTTGGAGAAAAATTTTCACTTTGAAGATTCAAAGCTGTAACCAAAGTCTGCAATAGCTGAGATGATCACAGATGAACTATTGGCTCTAAAATAGTTACGGAGTTTTGCTTCTTCCTCTCGGCATGTTTTTAATAAACTTGATAGCTCTCGTCATCACTCTTTTCTCGATAGATTCATTTTTACAACGGACGATTTCGGATGAAGTTTCCGATAGTTCATCGTTTGCACTTTTAGATAAGAATCTATAGTATCCAGATCTGTATTGGCCCATTTTAGAATGCCAAAGGAACAGGATAAAGCTGGAAACGCCCATGTATTTAAAGCTTTTATAATATTTTTTCCGAAAGATATGTTTTGAGGATGATCTTTACACGCCTTTTATAGCCTTTCTTAAGTTCTAAAAGCTGATAAATACCAAGATACTTGTACGAGTCATTTCCGTTGAGGCTGTTGACCGCCGCCTTATTAGAGAGCTCCATACCATTTGTTTTTTTTTCATCTTTCCCTTGTCGACATGAAGCACGCACATTCATCCAGAATGTTTTGTTGTTATTAATTATCATTAAAGTTATAACAGTTATTACAAATGCAAGGATTCCATCCTCAAACCCTCGTGTGTAGTTAAATAGACTGACGGAAAAGACAATGGAAATGGCTCTGTTTCTCAATATATTTTACTGAAATACTCGGTAGTGTCGAAATTGTATTGCATTGTAGTTTCTCTAAACAAAAAAGATTAAAACTAGACGGTCATCCACAAGTTGAGGAATCTCTTTATATGTGTTTTTTTTTTTTAAGAATAGTTTTTAATAACGGATAACAAAGTATATTTTAATGGCACTAAAGAGTGGCTTGATAATTTCCAAAGCAGGGATGGAATATGTTTTTTATATTAATTTTTATTTCACTGAAAACATTTTTTACACCTTTTTTTTTTAGATAAATGTCATGAAGGTATTTAATACTTACTTGGAGTGGGCGAATGGGTGCAACATCGACTACCAAAGCCTGGTACTTTTAAGGAATTTACGACACCAGACGTTTTCTTTACAGTCCAGTCATTTGGTAATTTGAACAGCGAAAAATTGCTGAAGAACTTTTCTCAACGGCTCTATATGTTTTTTGGGCAATGTAATTTATTTATACATTCTTGTTCTGTTATAAACATCGTTAAATTAGGCGAATCAAAAGCAGTGAATCAATCAATACATAGTAAATTTAATGCTCTTTCAAATTTATTACAAGAATTTCTTCTAGAGATAGGCAGATTATGAGTTTTAGGAAAAAACTGACGAAAACAGACATTTCTTGTAAAATAAGCAACCAGTCAACGAGTCTTAACTCCTCAATCGTGGGTCTTAAATGAAAAAGCTTTGTATAAAATCGATATCAAATTTTATCTTCTTTAATTTTGTAACAGTATTAATTCCGATAAAATGATTACCACCATGGCATAGTTTCGGAGTCATATTCAAAAAACTAAAAGAAGTTCTAGAATTTTGCAGTTTTTTTAATATGTCTCGGAACGCAATGTAAAATTTCGTTCGGGAACATAAAATTAAGATGCAGCATCCCAAAAAAACTATAAACCAACAGTTTGAATTTTTTCATCATAATTTTATCAGCTCTCTTTTTGTCAAAAGTGATTTTTTTCTAGAATGCGTCATTGTGGAGTTATGACCAAATTCGAATCTACTAGATAACTCGATTTTCAGATCGAAAAATTGTTCAGCAATTTTTTCCTAGATTGAATACTTTTCGCCACCAAATCCAAGAGTTTTCGTAAGTAAAATTGTTGTAGGTTACGATGAGATGGAACTATTAAAAAAATAGTTAATAATTCGATAAAAAGGGGTCTGTACCACGGGCTATAGATGAATGCCAGCTAAACTCACAATATTTTAGAAATACTCACCAAATACATAAAGTATAAATATAAAGTATAAAAATAACTGCACTACTACAACTCTTGAAGAATTTTGGGTTCAATACTTTGTTAGGAAGTACCGTTTTAGGACCAACGGTTGTGCTGGGAAGTTTCGCGCTCAACCGGCAGCTTTTCCTCTTAATTAATTATTTATTTATTTTAAGAGAGTATCAACTTTATATAGGCTTGGTGAAGGGTCTCCTGATCCATGGTGATGAAATAGAATAAATAATTACTTGATGCAGCCGAACTAGAAACCGGCATGTTGTGAATACGACACATACAGCCTTACACATTTAGCTCCTTTCGTCATTCAATATAATACGTGGTTATTCATTATGTATTCTACAACCACTACTTAAGAGATGGAAATCATA